GAAATCCAACAAACCTAGTAAGATCCTGGAACTTGAAGAGGTTAGACAGACAATGTGTTATGTTGAGCTTCTCCTTGGGGCATGTTTAAATCTCCAACAGGATAAGTAATGATGTTGAAGAATCTGATCTCCGATCACATAACAATAGAAAACAGCATGGCTATCTCTAACGATACAGCTGTTAAGAAAAAAAAAATCTTTGCTATTTTTCTTCTTCTTGCTCCTGTGGACTTTATAAAATGATGCCACTTGAGACCAAGGTGTGGGGGAAAATGGATTTGTTTCAATTGTGCAGTGTCCTGAAATCATAACTCCAAAAGGCAAAGAATATTTTTAAGGGGGAAAATGCACAGCTACCTGAAATTGCTCCCAAATAAGAACTAGGGACAAATTTATTTGTGTCACCTTGTAAGGCTCATAAAATTACACATTCCCAGACCAGTGGTGGGATTCAAATTTTTTTACTACAGGTTCTGTGGGCATGGCTTGGTGGGCGTGGCAGGGGAAGGATACTGTAAAATCTCCAATCAGAGGTGGTATTTGCCAGTTCTCTGAACTACTCAAAGTTTTCGCTACTGGTTCTCCTGAACCTGTCAGAACTGGCTGAATACCACCTCTGTTCCAGACCAACATATACCCCAAAATCCAATTTCCTCCACAATTTCTCTCAACTTTGTATGTAACATGTTGTGGTTCTCAAGGGTATGAAATTGTCATTACTAGAGGAAAGTGCATACAAACAATCATATTTGCATGAAAATAACACAGAATAATGATGTAATGCATTAGGGAAAAATACATAATTGCAAATGTAACACATGTGAGACAAAACTGTGTCCTGGAAATAGGAGCACCAGGAAATGCAAACTTGTTTTTGCTGTTTTATGATTATTGCTTATTTTCAAATGAATGCAGGCTTATGACTAGAAAAATGAAAAGCTGACAAAAATTGATATTCAGCCCTATCTCAAAATGACTACTGTTATAAGCTTTGTGCTAATATTCCCTAGATCAGTTTTCTTCCTTGCTCCTGTTTATTGGCTGTTTCAATTCCAAGTGCTATGAATCAAAATACATTGTGCAGCTCTTCCATTTTTGCTGCCTTAACATTTATTTTATGGAAAGAAAACAGATGGAAGAAGCAGTGGGATGTGAAAAAATTAGAAATGGGAGATAAGCCCCCTACGAGTCCATGTTTGAAGAAAGACAAATGTGCAATAAAACATCATCTGCTATTGCTGCATCTCTCCTTTGTAGCATAGATTTCCTTATCATTTTGCCATAGATTTTCTTATTATTCTGCACCGTCATGCAGATACAAAGAACTTAAGAATTCAATACTCTTTCTTAAACCTTAATTGGCACTTTGGTGCCTTCAAGCTATTACCCTGCTTTTGATTCTATCCATGTCAGGGGCGCCTGAAATCAGGGATACCTATGTGAGGAGGACAGTCAGAAAAGTCAAGATGGCTGTTACGATCTTGTGACTTTAGTAATAGTTTATGTTTCTGGGTGTATCTTTTAGAGCAGGGGACCCCAACCACCGGGCCGCAGACCGGTACCGGTCCGTGGATCACTTTGCACCGGGCTGCAAAGAAATAAAAATAAAAAATAAAATAAAAATGGCGGCTTTCTTCGCCTTCGGTGAATGCTGCTGGGATCAGGGATCAAGGACACAAATGAAAGAAGGGGAGGGAGGAAGCAACCAAAGCCTGTCCTGCTCTCCGGCTCAGTGGCTTTGGTTTCCTCCCACCTCGTTCCTCTCTCAGTCGCTCTCTCGCTCCTCCACCAGCCCAGGAAGAAACTGCTTCAAAGAAGCCGGCAGGGTGGCTTTTCCTGTCGGCGCAGCTCCCCCGAAGCGCCCGTTCACCCCCACCCCACCGCCAATCAATCCAGGTTCAATCCAGTGCTCCGTTCTGCCTGCCTGCCTGCCTTCGTTTCTGGTTGTTTCGGAGAAGCTTCGGCTGAGAATAATAACCATTCGCCTCTTTTTCTCAGCCGAAGCTGCTCCGAAACAACCAGAAGCGAAGGCAGGCAGGCAGGCAGAACGGAGCACTGGATTGAACCTGGATTGATTGGCGGCGGGGTGGGGGTGAACGGGCGCTTCGGGGGAGCTGCGCCGACAGGAAAAGCCACCCTGCCGGCTTCTTTGAAGCAGTTTCTTCCTGGGCTGGTGGAGGAACGAGAGAGCGACTGAGAGAGGAACGAGGCAGACACCTGAGGGATGAGGCTGAGGGAGGCAGGGCCGAGAGGCGGGGCTTCTCAGCCGTCCTGCAGGGACTTGTCCTGAGCCACGGAGACAGCCGTGGGCCGCCGCCGCCCAGCGCTCAGTTTTGAAGGCGCTCCTCAGCCCGGCGCAGTTCCTGAATCTGCAGCTGAAATCCTCCGTTTTAAATGTCCCAATAGAAGAGAATATCTGTCGCTCAGGGTTGCAATGAGGAGGCATTGGCGCTCCCTGAACTTGGTGGTTTGCTGACAGACGTTTTATTACCCGACTAGGTAACAACATCAGATGTTACCTAGTCAGGTAATGAAACGTCTGCAAGCAAACCACCAAACTCGGACCCCCCCCCCCCCCGGTCCTTGAAAAAGTGTTTCTGCGTGAAACTGGTCCCTGGTACAAAAAAGGTTGGGGACCACTGTTTTAGAGATTTAACCAGGTAGAACACAGGCACTCATGAAACCAAAAGTACACATATAGATTGGGTGAAACCAGGCTTAATTGCAGTAACTGTGAGAGGGATCTTGGAGTCTTAGTGGACAATCAATTAAATATGAGCCAGCAGTGTGCAGCAGCAGCAGCCAAAAAAGCCAATGCAATCCTAAATTGCATTTACAGAGGTATACAATCAAGATCAAGTAAGGTACTAATACCACTCTATAAAGCCTTAGTAAGACCACACCTAGAGTACTGCATCCAGTTTTAGTCACCACACTATAAAAAGATGTTGAGACTCTAGAAAAAGTGCAGAGAAGAGCAACCAGGATGATTAGGGGACTGGAGACTAAAACATACGAAGAACAGTTACAGGAACTGGGCATGGCTAGTCTAGTGAAGAGAAGGACCAGGGGAGACAGGATCGCAGTGTTCCAATATTTGAGGGGCTGCCACAGAGAGGAAGGGGAAGCTATTTTCCAAGGTACCCGAAGGCCAGACAAGGAATAATGGATGGAAACTAATCAGGGAGAGATTCAACTTGGAAATAAGGAGAAATTTTCTGGCAGTGAGAACAATCAATCAATGGAACAGCTTGCCTTCAGAAGTTGGTGGGAGCTTCATCACTGGAAGCTTTCAAAAAGAGACCGGACTGCCATCTGTCAAAATGGTGTAGGGTCTGCTTGGGTGGGGGGGGGGTTTGCATTAGGTGACCTACAAGGTGCCTCCCAACCATGTTAATCTGGATCTGTATGACAAGCAGCAAAGCCATATGGAAATGTTATGGATTTCAACCCCAAATCAGTGGCTTAATGACAGTGAAGATAATCTCTGCTCCAGTGGCTTGAGTCCTAGCACTGTGTGGTGGGGTGAGCTCCCATCACTCGCCTCAGCTCCTGCTCATCTCACAGGTTGAAAGCATGTTCTGTGTGAGAAGATAAATAGGTACCACTTTGGTGGGGAGATTAGCCAGCACTTCTTGCGGTGATTAGGATCTTGCTGGGCCTGAACCTTACCGGTTTTGGCGCCCATTTGCAATGTGGCTTCGGTGGAGGAAGAAGGTCCTTAGAATGGCACTGCCAAAAAAGCTGCTCATATTTCTTTCTAGCGTGAAGCTAGCTCACCCTCCTGTGGCACACCTTGAGAAGCGCACAAGTGTGTACCTACAGAACTGGTAAACAGGCAGCCAAACTACTACTCTACATTAGCACTGTAACCTTCTGACTAATCTAATAAAGCCATATGCTAAATAAAAAAAAACCTCAAATAACAGAACAAGTATAAATCACGTGACCTATTGTTTAATCTCCATAAATGGATTTCTAACAGTCTTTCTGGGCTATAGAACATATATGAAACAAAAGGTGTTTTTTTCAGGAAGCAAAGGGACTTTTTTTTTTTTTGAAGATGTTTTACTTCTCATCCAAGAAGCTTCTTCAGCTCTGACAGGATAGTGGGGAATGGAAGGCTCTGACACTATCCTGTCAGAGCTGAAGAAGCTTCTTGGATGAGAAGTGAAATGTCTTCAAAAGAAAAAAAATTGCCTCCTGAAAAAAACACCCTTGGGACAACCAGGACCTGGATGACTGAAAATCTCTACAGATTTTAAACATTTTAAAACAATTAATTGCATATGTTTTAAGCAACCTTTCACTGGGATACCAAAAGAGATAATCATAACTGTTATTCAAAAATCTACATATATAATAAATAGCAATCTCAACTATTCATTGCAATTCTGATACAGATTATTGGTTTAGTCCATTCTCTAAGGGCTCCAGAAAGCTTCCTAATCCAACGTCTAATTCTAAAATCTCTTCTATTAGGAGAGCATTGACCACAGACAGGAAGAAGATTTTCATTTTGGTTAATAATATCCCAAAGTACCTTTGGCTGGTTAAGAGTGCTGTATTATGATATTTGATGTACAAAGATACCAAGCTAATTTGATAACTTTCTACCTTTCCACCAAAGTCAGTTGAACTAAAACTGTTACTGTCTCCTCTTCAAATTCTTGATCAGGAGATTAAATATAGTAAAATGGCTAAGGTATCAGAGGTATATAAATTGAACTCTCCATTTCATCATAGGAATCATTCGATAAATTCAATAAATTAGAGCCAAGCATTCTTTTGTTTGCCTTTTTTTCTGTCTCTTTTTGGAAAATAAAATCAGTTCATTAGAGAAAAGGTTTATAACATTTATAACATTGGGAACTAAGAAAAATAAAGAAATAAACAATCAAATGCAGCTTTACGAAACCACACCGCAGATTGCAAGTTATTACTTGCGATTCAAAAATCAGAAAGAAAAAAAAATGCACTGGGGAAAATCCAGAACTAACCTTATACAGTAAAGGCATATGTCCAAGTTTCAAAAGAGCAATTTTGCTGGATACATTAGTAAACTGTTTAATTCTGAGCAAGTCTCCTGGACTTCCATATTGTACATCAAAGACATCAGCCTAGAAAAAGAAGAAAGATGGATTATTGATTAGCATATTCCTTTTCTATATATTAAGAATGAATAGGCAGATAGTGTTATGGTTCGCCAGCAGCAGGTGCAGACGGCAGTGGAATTGGACAGTGGGGAAGAATGGGGACAAGTCAGGGAGTCTGGAGACGACTTGGATGAGGGTCCTGCGCAGAGATGGGGCCAGGACCATCTGGGAGTGGTGTGCTGCCTCTGGAGCCTCCAGAGTCTGGCAGCAGTGAGACAGAGAACCCAGGGGAGCCTATTCCCAGTGCGTGTATGCGCAGAGCTGCTAGAAGGCAAGATCAGCTGAAACAAAAGAGGCAACTCGGGAGTAAGGCTGGGAAGTGATTGCCCCTCCCATAAGGTATAAAGGTCAGGCAAAGATGACCAAACCTTTGCAGGAAGCAAAGTATTTCTTTTGGTTCTGGTTCATTCTTGAACCTCTTTGTACTTCGATTGGCTTTTTTTCTAGTTCATTTGATACTTCTATTATTGGCAGCACTTCACAGAAAAGAAAGATGGGTGCTTATCTCGGGGGACTGTTTGAGATTTATTACCGGCTGGGAATGAAAATAATTCCTAGCGTTGCAATAAAATAAGTCTTGTTTTTAAAATAAGTGTGTGCATAATTACAGTTTAGGAAGCCTTGGTCAGAACAGATGGTATCCATAGACATCTGCGTTATTCACATTACTGGTATGATAATCACCTGTTTGTCTTTATATGTGACTAAATCCATCTCTGTTATTTTGTCATTTACGTATTCACAATATGTTATTCCCATGGACATCATTTGCATGAGCACATTAAACAGCTTATGCATACACATGATAAGTAGAATGCACAACAAGCTGCAGCAATACCACCATATTCTTATCATTGCCTCATTACAGATCTGCAGGTTTATTTCTAAAAATGGAAATGTTCTTCCACTTCAAACAGAGGACAATTCATAGCTCACTGATGAAACCTTGGAAGAGTGACACACAACAGCATGTAAATTTCCTATCCCCTCTCCTCTAAATTCCTCTGAATCTCACCCATGTATTGTTAGAGGCTCTTCCTATTTATTATTTTTATTTGTTCATTTTTATAAGTTTTTTTTAAGCATGTATGTAGTCATAAATACACAAGCTTTCATTTAGCCTGAGAAACATGATCATATAACATACATAAGAATAGTGCTTAAAGTCCATTAGAGATAGGTGATATTTTACCACACTCTATAGGACAATATGGTAGATGCTTCACTAGTGGATAGAGACAATGTGTTGACCTTTTATAGCAATAACAATAGCAATTGCACTTAGACTTCTATATCGCTTCATAGTGCTTTACAGCCCTCTCTAAGCGGTTTACAGAGTCAGCATATTGCCCACAACAATCTGAGGTCCTCATTTGAATGGATGGAAGGCTGAGTCAATTTGAAGCTGGTAACAATCGAACTGCTGGCAGTTGGCAAAATTAGGCTGCAACAGAACATTCTAACCACTGCATCACCATGGTTCCATTTATAGTAAGAATGCCTCCTACCTCCTACTCTGAGGATTTTTTTTTACCCATTTGCTATCACACAGGATTCCTGTGCTTTATATATAACTGTGTTTCAAAAGTTACATGAAGGTTGTTGTGCAAATTATCTTAATATGATGCTTTAAAAATATTTGCTTAATATGTTTCCTGTGAATAGGGTGTTATTTCTGTTAATTATGTTTGTATTCACACTATGTTAATACACTTTACGTAGGCATACATACATGCATACTTACTCCCAGATCACACTATTCATTTTCAAGGTAAACAATCTATGAAAGCAGATGGAGGAAATAGTAAACTAAATAATTAAAAGCAGATGGAGGAAATAGTAAACTAAATAAATTAATAGTGTGATAAGACAGGTCAAAGGAAATATGACTGTTTGTAGCCTTTTAAAAAACATATTATTGTGCCTTCAAGTCAGTGTAGTTTTCTTGGTAAGATTTCAGAAATGGCTTACCATTGCCGGCTTTCTAGGGCTGAGAGAAAGTGACTGACTCAAGATCACCTCGCTGGTTTTGTGCTTAAGAACTAGAATTCCCAGTCTCCCAGTTTCTAGCCTGATGCCTTCATTACTACCCCAAATTGGCTCTCAAATGTAGCATATATTAACATTATTCCAATATCAGCCTCATTATACAGTACTAAAATGTAGGATAGTGTGGTGGCTCAGTAGTTAAGATGCTGCACTTGTTGGCTGGAAAGCTGACAGCCCAGGTTTGAGTTCTGAGCGCCATTCAACAGGGTGAGCTCCCATCCTTGCCCCAGCTCCTGCCAACCTAGCAGTTTGAAAGCATGCAAATGTGAAACTCTGTAGAGATTCTCAGTTATCCAGGTCATGGTTGTCCCAAAGTTGCTTTTTTCAGGAAGCAACTGGACTTTCTTTGAGGATGTTTCATTTTTCATCCAAAAAGGTTCTTCAGCTCTGACAGGATAGTGAGGAATGGAAGGATTCTTTGCAGACAGCTGGTCATTTGCATCCTTTTAGAGGGCTGTTGAAACACTTGGAGGTTTATCTGTGTCCTCAGGGTCACCCGAGTAGTGCTCCTGGTTCCTGTAGTCTGCAATTTTTTCCTCTGGACATTGATTCCTAGTCCCAAACCATTCAAAGGGTGTCCATCCCAAACTGTGTAGCTAAAAGTGCTTTAACGACCCTCTTAAAGGATGCAAATGACCATCTGTCTGCAAGGAATATAAATCCTTCCATTCCCCACTATCCTGTCAGAGCTGAAGAAGCTTCTTAGATGAGAAGCGAAATGTCCTCAAAGAGAAAATAAGAAAGTCCAGTTGCCTCCTGAAAAAGCACTTTAGGGACATGGAAATGTGAGTAAATAAATAGGTATTACTTTGGTGGAAAGGTAACAACACTGGCCACAGGACCACAGAAATGTCTTCGGACAGTGCTAGCTCAATGGCCTTGAGATCAGTGGTGGGATTCAAAAACTTTAACTACCGGTTCTATGGGTGTGGCTTGGTGGGTGTGGCAGAAGAAGGATACTGTAAAATCTCCAGTCAGAGGTGGTATTTTCTGGTTCTCCAAACTACTCAAAATTTTCACTACCGGTTCTCCAGAACTGGTCTGAGCCTGTTAAATACCACTTCTGCTTGAGATGGAGATGAGTACTGCCCTTTATAGTCCGTAAAATCTGCAGAGACCCCCTTATACTAAAGCCTTCTCCTTATCTTTCTGTTCTCATGCACCATCTTTGCTTGCACCATTTTATGTATCACATTCTTTATTTTTCCAGTATTGCATCACTGCAGTCCAACCATGAATTTCTCAGTCTTTTGCTTTTTCTCCATTGATTTATGTTTCCTTCAAATATTTGTTTTGTGATTCCATCTTCATTTATTCTCTTTAAATAATCAAACTCATTCAATTTACTTTTCCATACTGGATCGTTCATTTTTATTTTCTTTCCACATTTATTCTTGACTCAATCGTTTATATTTATACACACATGCTCCTTATGTACATAATACCTATTGTTCATATGCATACTCTGTCTCCCTCTCCCCCCCCTCTCTCTCTCACACACACTAATATATATATATATGTGTGTGTGTGTGTGTGTGTGTGTGTGTGTGTGTATCTTTGGTTATTCGGGTTTTCTCCCGCATAAAATTGAAAGTATCTAGGCAACGTTTCAATGAAGTCTCATTCATCATCTTCAGGCTTGTGTCTTCGGCTCTGTGCTTCTCAGAGTAATGTGAGCTTGCAGCTGCTTCTTCCTTTTAACTGTTAGTGGGGGTGTGACTTGATTGGGTGGGGGCTTGGCTGTGTTCTGATTGGGTGGGGATGTGTTCTCATTGGTTGGGGGTTTGGCTGTGTTCTTATTGGTTGGGGGGTTGGCCGTGTTCTGATTGGCTGGGGGTGTGTTCTGTTCAGGTGGGGGCTTGGTTGTGCTCAGGTTAGTCTTAGTTGCTGGGGGATTTGAGCTGGTGAGCTGTGATCCTGCTGTTTGGCTTCACGTTCATGGTCGTGCTGCATCTTCATGATGGGTGTCAGTTTGCTTCATGTATGGCTCAGAGGGGTTTGAAGCGGGTAGTGATGCAGCTGCAGTGCGGCTTCTGGTCCATGGTCGTGTCTCATCTTCTGTGTGGGTGTGAGTCTGCTTTCTACATGGAAGTGTGGTGGTAGCATCTTGTGTGGCCCTCATGGGTGTGGGTCTGGTGTCATTCTTCATGTTAGGTACTTGTCTGTTCATGAAGGCGGGTTTCCAAATGGCTAGTAGGCGGGAGATGTCATCTCATTTATTCATGCTGTGTGGCCATTTTTCTATCTCTATGGCTTCTTTGATTATTCTGTTGTTGAAATGTTCAGTTTTGGCGATAGTTCTGGTATTTTTAAAGTCAATATCATGTCCTGTGGCTTTGAGGTGTTGGACCAGGGAAGAGGTTGGTTCTTTTTTGATTGAGTTCTTGTGTTCTTCAATGTGTGCACTTATTCTTCTGTTAGTTTGTCCGATGTATGTGGTGGGACAGGCAGTGCAAGGGATTTTGTATACTCCTTGGTTTTCTAGCTCGATTTTGTCTTTAGGATTTCTTAGGATGGTGGATATTTTTCTGTTTGTGCAGAATGCTGTTTTAATGTTGTGTTTTTGGAGGATCTTGCTGATTTTGTCTGTAGTGCCTTTTATATATGGGAGGAGGGCTTTGCCATTCTCTTGTTCTCTGTCTTGGATTTTGGTTGTCACAGACGAACACAATACAGAAGCCTAATGATGGCAGATGAGATTCTGCCGAAACGTTGCTACAACTTTAAAAGCACAACTATAATGAAGTGGGAAAATATCCGAACAAAGCTGAATACCATACATGTAAGTACCTGCGAAAACTTTATATATATATATATATATATATATATATATATATAT